CTACAATGCAAAAGTTTCATAAGGAGCTCCCGGTTTGACCGGAAATCGACGTTGTTATTTTGGACTAGATTTTTTTGTTTGGGACCAATCATTCTTCCGTTTATTTAGTAACTAATTTTTCTATACAGATTTTTCAGTCCGTTCAGCTTTTCTTGGCAGAGAAAAATCTGCATAACTCTCTTTAAAAAATGTTCCACAAGGTGTCTCAAAATCAGTGCTTTGAGCATATCAGTGACATATATTCCTCTATCTAAATTTTATTTGATTTTCATCTGTTACTTTTTTGAGTATGCCAGGTAGTAATTAGATGAGTGAATTGTACAGCGGTGGCTAAGGTGTGAGCCTTGATTTCCCTAGACACGTCGTGTATCCAACTCTTCCTTCGCACTAAGTGGTTGGTTGTCCGTCAAATGAGAATCACCTCTCGTTTCCCTCATTACGCAAATTGGTGTTGCTCTCTTCAGCGAGAGCAGCTACGGCAAAAGGCGCTAAAGCGCTTTTTGTCCCGGCTGGTCGTTGTGGCGACGGACTTCCGTGGCGGCTACTTCGCTTCTTTACGGTTTGGATGTCGCCTTTTCGTCTGTCAACCTCTTAGCGAAGAACCGCGTTTGAATGTAAGCTCTAAAGCTCTCCAATAAGTTTTTCTTTTTCGGTTCCTCAATAAATCATGTTTAGATCCGCGTAGGAGATGAATATGTGATCACACGTGGTCAACGCGGGTGGTTGTATGGTCATAAACGGGATAACGACAAGTACAAAGGATGGTTCCCACGAGTTTGTGTTCGATTTACTGATAAATATCCGTTTCAAACGGGAGCAAAAGAAGCATCTCCTGATGAGTCTAAGCTCAACACTCTACAGGGGAAGAAAGAGGAGAATTGACTGTGGTGAGAATGGGACAATTGGCCTTTGAAGGTCTTAGCTATTCTGCAAGCCCGTTTTGAATGTATCTAAATTTTTTTGCTATCAAGAGCAAACGTTCTACTTATTCACTTATTTTTAGGAAATCATTGGCCTGATGATTATTTGTAATCTCATCAATGTCTTAAAGAATTAATTACACTCTAGCTCCATGTTTTGCTTGCATTTATAGGAATATTGTTTGTGATTTAGTATTGTTCTATGCTTTACGGATTCGTCTGTAGGGTCATGCGCGCATTGAAATGCGTTGTTCATTTGTAAGGCCTACTCTGCTTACCTCCATTATGCGGTGGTTATACCTTATACGAACAAATAAAACATTTTCTGCTCTAGTCGTTGCTCATGTTTCCTGCGTTGGCCAGTAATTTGTAGTGTATATCGGAAGCACTGAAGCAATTCACGGCGCTAGGGGGTGCATTTTTCGGCCGAGCCGTCAGTCGAGGTGTCTCTCACCGGTGAGGGGTCCGCGGAGGGGCGCGGCCTGTCATATGCTCCGCCCCGCAGGGCTGAATCGCTTGGCTTTCGCCGGCTGCCACATAAAATGTCTCCTGTTACTCACAGTTTACTATTACTCTATACGAATACTCGATTACCGTCTTCCATTGGGAACACGTCCATAAATTTATCGATTCTTCCCTTCTATCTTGCAAAT